AAGTGTTTGTTCTAACTTTGGCTTGAGGGAATAGGATTAGAGTGTTGTTTGCTATTTGCTAATTGTTGAGTACGGTGTATAGGCATGGTGACGAGTATCTATACACCGGAGTCTAGCATGACCGTGAGTCTTATTTGTGTTTATTCGGATTTTGTGATACCTCTTCCTTGTTAAATTGATAAATTTCATATAATGTGAAGAGTTTGAGGAAGAATTATGATTTGTACATTCTTGGAGCATTGGCTCGAGTATATCATAAAGCGTGAAAGTATATGAAATGATTGAACCCCTTTGGAGCGTTGGCTCAGGTGGTAAAGTGAGATAAGAGGTAAAAGTGAAAGAAAGAGAAAGAATTATTGAAGTGCTCCCTTGCCGGGATGCTTGTTGCTTTGTTGACTATCTCCCTTGCCGGGATGCTGAGATTATTGATATTGTTCCCTTGCCTGGTTTTTAACTACTTAATTGTGCTTCCTTGCCGGGAGTTAGCTATTTATTTGTATTCCCTTGCCGTGATTTCTATCATCATTTGTCTACTCCCTTGCCTCTTGTTTGTGATTTTTGCTTGGGTAAGGAAGAGTGATAAAGCACGAAGGGTGATGCCGTGCATTGTTTGCTATTGTGAGGAAAGAGTGTAAAGCACGAAGGGTGATGTCGTGCCGCACGATGTACCATTCCATGCTAATTTTATTGATTATATGGTGAGGAAAGAGAGTAAAAGCACGAAGGGTGATGCCGTGCATATTTTATTTATATGATTGTTTGGTGAGGGCGAGAGTAAAAGCACGAAGGGTGATGCCGTGCATTTGTTGCTTTCTGATTCTTTGTTGATATCCGAGTTATGTTGTTTCTTTCATTACTTGTTGTTATTTGATTTACTTCGAGGTTATAGATCCTCTTACCCTATTTATCTTGTGATTGTTGTTTGGGTGAGGAAGAGCATAAAACACGAAGGGTGATGCCGTGTATTATTTTGGTGAGGACGAGAGTAAAAGCACGAAGTGATGCCGTGCAAATTGTTGATTTTTGATTCTTGTTGACATTCTGGGTTTGTTACTCCTTTCTGTTATTGAGGATTTCTATTTGAAACTTTTAGCTCCCCATAGCATGTCCCCCCTCTTAGTTGTTTAAATTCTGTATATTTCATTTTATTGCATATATCTGCATAAGTTGTTTTTGGTAGGTTCTGTCTAGCCTCGTCACTACTTCGCTGGGGTTAGGCCAGGCACTTACCAGCACATGGGGTCGGTTGTGCTGATGCTACACATCTGTAAATCTTTTTGCACAGATCCCGGAGCAGCTTTTGGACCTCGGCAGTAGGATTTGATCGGGAGCTGACTTCAGTAGAGAGACACCGAGGTAGCCTTGCTGATGTCCGCAGGACCGAAGTCTCTCTCTCTTTATTCAGTTTGTTATCTTTGTACCGAAACAAACAGTTTATAATTTTCTTTCAGATGATTGTATTTAGTAAATCTTAGAATTTCGTGAGCATTGTGACACCAAATCTTGGGTAGAGGATTATGTTAAACTTTCCTCAAATTTCTATTTAGTTTTTATGTAAGTTAAGACTCCGCTTTTATTTAATTGTATCGTTTTGTTTATATTGTTGCGAATGTTATCAGAAATGTATTAATACTTGGCTGGCTTATCTCCATTAGTAGGCGCCATCACGACTCCCCATGGTGGAAAATTCGGGTCGTGACACCTTGTTGTTCAACCGAGTGTAATAGGACAGATAATCTTTCAGCACATATTAGGAATAAGTAAAGTGATAGAGGATCACCCTGCCTTAATTCTCTAGATGGCTTTACACAATCCTTAATCTCTCCATTAAGTTAAACGAAAAAGAAACAAGTCATAACCAAATTTACAAAAATATGGTGAAAACCCATTTGTAACATCATTTGCTGGATATAAGGACACTCCACACGATCATATGCTTTAGACATATCTAAATTTAAATCTATTAACTTATTTTTTCCTTTCCTTTGTTTTTTCAGCAACCCCATAAATTCATGTGCTAACATAATATTATCCACAATTTGTCTTTTTCCAACAAAGGCAGCTTGATTCATAGAGATAAGTAAAGGCGTCAAAGATTTCATGCGTTTCACCAGAATTTTTGTAATGATCTTATACAAAGTAGAGCATAAACTACTAGGTCTAAAGTGTAATAATTTGGCTGATGTATTATTTTACCGCTCTTTATATTGGGCCTAAGCCTGTGTCTATTTTGTTTGACACTTCGAATGTCATTTTACTGGTCACTCTTTACTTCTTTTTTTTGTTCTTTATGTTTGTACTAGATGACTCTTGCCCGCGCTTGCAGTCCCAACAATTTTGATTCTAATGCAGTTTTACTTTACATTACAACTAAAAACAAGAACACTTCATGCGATGTACAGTTAATTCCGTATGCCAAAAGAACAGACAAAATTAGACATAAAAGTCCCACGATGGCAAGCCAATGCAATATGTTTCACTCTATGAACTTTCAGAGTCCCTTTTTTTTCCTTTCTACGTCTATACCTACTGAAACTAACTCCTTTCTCTTTCTGTTGATGCAGCTTGTGGGTAGGAAACCAAGTACTAACATTTAACCATGCATAATTACAACTTATGCCAGCACCTTTGACTCGACATGTATGTATTGCAAACTGACAAGATCTTCACAAAGCTTTCAAGCTCAAGAGTGAGGAAGAAACATAATTCATCAACAAAATTATTTTTGGTTGTTAGAATAGCACGAGAAGTAATAAAGGAGGCATTTGAATGACATTTGTATAAATCAGGATAAGTATCTCGGAAGAGCAAATTCAAGGATTCTTTTTCAGAAGTATAAGGAATAATGAGGGAATGAGGAATTTCAATTTTTCCACAGTCATTTTGCTATTCTTTTCCATCACCAATTCTCATTAAATATTTACAAAAGGCAGGATCTATTTTAGCACGCATATTCTCATATAGTTGTAATTTTTCAAGTTGATTCCAAATTTCAGAGCACAATAAACTTTCACGAATAAAATCTTCTTTTTTGCCACTACGAACTACGGGAAGAGTTTGTCTAAAATCACCACTAAAGACAACTACCTTTCCTCCAAATAGTATATTTGTTTCCATTAGATCTCTTAAAAGCAAATCAAATGCTTCCACTGTTTGCTTTTTGGCCATTGAAATTTCATCCCATACAATTAGTTTTGCATCTCCTATTAAAGACGCTAATGAGCTTTGTTTAATAATATTGCAGCTGAAGTTCTCATTGACATCAATAGGAATTTTAAAGCGGGAATGAGCAGTTCGACCTCCAGGAAGAAGTGAAACTGCAACACCGAAACTTGTAGTTGCTAAAGCTATAAATCCTTTGTGTCTCACAGTAGCTAATAAAGCACGATATAAAAAGCTTTTACCAGTCCCACCGGGACCGTCAATAAAGAATGCCCCTGGTCTATTTGAAAATATTCTATCGAAAATCATATTGTAAGCTCTTCTTTGTTCAATGTTTAATTTGTTTTTCAACAGTAAATCTTCATCGTTAACAATGATATTTCTCTCGAAATCAACATCTTTAGCTTCTTTTGCTATTGCATATGACTTTATCACTTCTGAAATTAGTTCAAATTTATTAATATCATGCCCCATTGAATGAAGAATATTATTAATATGGTTTAACACTTTGTAACAGATTTCCCTTGCATCTATATTCAGATTTCTTTTGAAATCTTCAGACATTGGGCTTTCAAATCTTTCCCATAATTCTCTTGGATTAGTTGGATTACAATAGATCAGTAACATAGCAAATAATTGTCTTAAACTGAATGGCATTTGGTAACTTACAGCTTCAGACATGCATTCTACCAAATTATTATCACAAAGTAGTAATCCTCTTCTTTCTGCAGCTTCTCTAAATGTGGTACAATATACTCCATTTACTGTTCGCAAATCTTCATATGATTTTGGTCCTCTTACATTCATTAGAAGCAGTCTAAGATAGTATCTTTCTCCTTCGTTTGGATGACATGTCACAACGCAACCAATAGCATTTCCTCGTTGACGGCGTGTCCATGTTTTATCTATTGATGACCATACAAAGTATTCGGAAAATTCTCGATATAATAAATTCAGGTTCTTAGCATCTTTGTTTTCTCTATTCATTAAAAAGAACTCGGTTAACATTGTTTTCTTAATCATATAATTGTTCACAATTTTACTAATATTGTCTGTACTCTTGAAGGAAACAAGTTGTTGTCCATCAAGATGTAGCTGAAGATGATATACATTTGGAAACATTAATAAGGAAAGCAAATATACGCCATGTAGCCTCAGGCGGTGAAACCCACCTAACAGTTTGGTATTCCTTTATTTCATCTATCTCTACATTTGTATCATTAACATGTATATGAAATGCAATTTTATCATGTCCTAAGCAAATATACTTATAGATGTACTTGACAACTTTAATATTAGAACAAATCTCAACATTTATATGACAGTTGAATTTATAAAGTAAATATATATTATAAGGAACAACCCATGAATTATCAAGAAGGTGTCCTCTAATTTTCACTTTCTTTCCTGTGTTTCGCCTTCTATAAATTGGATACGAATTTTTTCCTTTAGTTGTTTGTTCTGCAAACTCTTTAGGATACTTAAATTTATATTAACCTGTTTTTTTTTCATACAAGAATTTGTTGGATTTAATTCTCCACATAGAGCGTGCATCATGTAATCTGTAACAAGTGAATATAGAGTAGGATTTTCTTTTTCATCGGGTAATTCAGCATATACAAAACGGTCATATGCTTCAGGAGTTAGTAACTTATATTTTTCATCAAGGATTATAAGAAAATAAGCATGTGGAAGTCCCCGTTTTTGAAATTCCATTGTATACATAAATGCTGCGACTTTGACAATTATTTGTGTTTTGACAATATCCTTTTTCAACTCTTCTAATTTTGCTCGAAATACTCGACTTATTAAATCCGGTCTATTTTGTGTTTCATCTATTGACAGGAGGTTTTCTTTTATTTCAGGCCAAGAAGGATTACAGGTCATAGTCAAAAATATATCAGGTTTTCCAAAGCGTTGCACTAATGCAATAACATCCATATACCTTCAGCGCATATCTCTTGGGCCTCCCGTAAAGCTAAGTGGGAGTATTTGTTGTTTTCCAACATGTGATGTACGGTTAATTCTGTATGCCAAAAGAACAGACAAAATTAGACATAAAAATCCCACGATGGCAAGCCAATGCAATATGTTTCACTCTATGAACTTCCAGAGTCCCCTTTTTTTCCCTTCTACGTCTATACTTACTGAAACTAACTTTTTTCTCTTTCTGTTGATGCGGCTTGTGGGTAGGAAACCAAGTACTAATATTTTAACCATGCATAATTACAACTTATGCCTGCACCTTTGATTCGACATGTATGTATTGCAAACTGACAAGATCTTCACAAAGCTTTCAAGCTCAAAAGTCAAGAAGAAACATAATGATAATACTTGCTTCAATTAGATCCCTCAACAAGTTTCACTAAGTTAATTTTGAACCTGGCAATTTTGAAAGATTGGAACTTCAAGAGAAGGGGATTATGTAGGATATTTTACATTTACAGGAAATTTTTTGTCCTAAAAATGATTCAAAATTACTTAGCAGGAAGATATACTCTTTACATCAAAGCAGTATACACAAGTAGAACCTGAGCACCACGCAGTGTTCCAGGCCTTGCTCGCCCAGTTCCCTTATGACACCACGGTTTTCTACCAGCCCCAGTAACTTCACTAATAGTTTTAGTTAAATGGGTTCCCTGCAACATTCATCAAGAGTAGGTCAACAACACCATTTGAATCCTCTATTGCCTTGGCAAGTAACTATAATTTACAAAGCTTATAGAATCAGGGTAACAAGCATAAAGATAGTAAACAAGTAGGAGAATATGAGGTTTAAATGATACGCCTTAGATCATTTTTTGTATGCAACAATTTTCTTTAGCAATGCGATTTTCCCCAAAAGGCATATGAGTTTTTGTGGTCTTCATATGCCTCAAAATGATCATCCTGATTCTCTTTTTTCCCCAGTAAGCCTCCCTGTTTCCCATAAAAACAATTGGGAGTAAGATGAGAAATGGAAAATGATAAATGGCTCTTAGGAACGGGAAACACAAATAAAACAGGAATAGCTCGCCAATGTGTATGCTCTATAATTGAAAATTTGGGATTCAAAAGAATCGTGCACATACCTGTTGTTGTTTTGCTAGCTGTCATCTTATCTTACAACACGATGAATAATATCCTTCCTAATTGGCACATCAAAAACATCTCCAACCAAACACATAAAACCCTTGTCTTCATTATGAAAATTCATTACTGGAATGACCAGGTCCTGATGGAACCCTGCCATATATAGTAATGAAAATGATAGTTACGCAAAATCAGATGATATAGATTCATCCACTGGAGTAATTTTCAATGGAATTATATGGGGCAAACATTATAACAACTCTATGTTATACTATCAATATGAGACAATCAACCTTACAAAGGGCAACATATGATAATCTAGGAAGTGTTCCCTCATATTAGGTGAAATGTAAGGCAAGCAACGAACAGTTTCAACTATTACTTCTTCGTTACTTCTAAAGATAAAAGGGGAATAAAATAGCAAATTGTACTTAAACCAACAACATGGCGATCAAGGAAAAAACATTTCCATGAAGCAGGATAGATAGTTGTGTTTTCATTATATTCCTACGGCTTCTAAGTTAGTCATGAGAATATGAGGAACTATAGTTCCATTAATCAATACTCAATAATCTTTTTGTGCCAAATGTCTGATTTCAACATGCTTGCGGATAGTAGTTGTTGTTTTTGTGCCAAATACTTAAAAGTACACAAGCCCAGAAAGCTAAGAAGTAAAAAAGAAACTTTCCCCCAAAAAATGCAATTGATGCCAAAGATGCTTGTTCTGCAAGATGTGATATTCAATAGCGTACTACTTTACATTATTCTTTATAAATTGAAGGGGCTCGCTAAAAAAATACTGGTAGATCCTGCACAATTTTCTTTGAATTCTAACTTACATGACATACATAAACATGCCATTTCATTTTAAAATATTGTTGGTAGAGAATCTCCCAACCTCCAATATAACTAAAACAGATAAAGGTGACTCATCCAAATGAAATGAAACTCTTTGATGATCCTCTATGACTAAAAGATCATGTTTTGTTATCATTTTTCACAAACATGTCCATACTATTTCAGAAACTTCTTTTACATCGTATGTAAAAACATCATAATCTTAAAGGCATATAAAGTTTAACTGAGGGCTTCAAAAAGTTTGAAGTAAAAGACATGACAAACAACTTACCGGAAAGGGTGAATCTTTAGAAGGAAATTCCATCGTATATTTTGGTTCTTTAGAGCTTAGACATAAGGTTTCACCTGATATAAAGTGGCAAGAAGTAACAATAAGTAATCCCTGAGGAAATACTTCAAAAACGGATTATTACAAAACAATAAGACAAAAGGGAAAGGGCGACCAAAGCAATTCGAGAACCTCACTTTGATAATTTAGATGCAATTAAAGAACCGTCAAAGTGTTAAGGAGAAACCAATTCGATAATACCCTCTCATCCCTGCAAATTTCTGGAACATGTGAAAAAATACACACAAACAAAAGTTTCGAAAATAAATATAATTCAAAAGCTCCCAAAGAAAAAGAAAATCATAATTAAATCCAAAAGACAATTGCAAGATAAAATTCTCATACATATAGAAGCAAATAAATAGATATTCCAAATGAAAATAAGGGAAATAGAAGTAGCCACATGAGTTTTAAGCCGACATGGCAAGAATGACAAAAGAGCATTATTATGGAGAAACCTCATTTAAGAACTATAAAAATCATATAATTAATAAATGGGCAATTGGAACTCAATTGAAACTACAACCAAAAAGGCATGAATCTCGTCATTAATTGTCACTCAATTAAGAAGATGAAGAGATTCTAGCAAAAAAATGGAGGAGCATTTCTTTGTGAAAAGAGATGAAAGAGCCGATATTTCTAGAGCTACCGTCAAACCTGGATTGAGCAAGCAGTGGACACATAAAATATTTTATATTTATCCATCTTACCAATTTAATCTTGCATATTGATATAATTGTAATTCTGACACTGGTCGACCAGACTTGGCTTTTCTATATAATAGAAAAACTTTTGTCATCACGTGCTTTTCCAAAGGTCTGGTCATTTTCATGATTTCTATCCGCCATTAAGGCAGCTTTTCTACTGCCAGAATATTTTTCTAATGACCGGTGCTTAAAAAAGGAAAAAATTACAATTTTAGCTATATGTTTGTCATTGATGAATAATATGCGTACAAGGTATGTAAGTTAAATTGTATTGGCATATACCACAAAGCAAAGCATCTCAAGTAAAGATATTTCTATTACATGCATAACTACATAACTAATTTTGGATAGAATATATTACCTTGTAATCGAAAAGTTAAAGTTGAGACGACATGAAATGAATAAAAAGGCCAACACCTCCTTAATACGAAGAAGGTAAGTGGAAAAATTAAATCCAGCAAAAGAGCAGTACTTACCACCAGTGATTTGCTACTAAACCGCACGAACAGATAGCTATGACAACACAACAAAGAGCGAAACCTGTAATTAAAACAAAACAACCAAAATAAGAAACTGTCAATAATGATCTCATATAAGTGGTTTCTATATGCTGAGGGGAAAAATATATTTTATTTACAGGCTAATGAGAAAATAAATTAGTGTATAGGTATTAACTCATCAGATGTAGCCAACAACTTTTGTTCAAAGAAGTCATAGCAACAATTAGCCGATGAATACGTAAAGAATTACCAACAACTAACCAACAATAACTTTTTAAGGCCATCCATTTTTTTTGAGAACTAACATTAACAAATACATTTCAATATATTACAGAGAAGAATGATGACAAAGAAACATTAATTGTAAAGGACTGAAGTAAAAAATATCATGTAACTATGTAAAAGAAGAGAGTAAAGAGAAAGAAGAGAGGAACATAGAGGCGGCCTGCAAAGAAAACTCTCTTCTTTGGATTTCTAATACAGAAGTTTTTAGAAAAGTACTTTTTTCCCCGCTCATTTTCGCATTTCAATCATACCTTTAATTTTTTGTGAGAATTAACTTAATTTTTTAGATGTTTACCATGAGAAGTCTTCATGTTTTCCAAAAATCACTAATACTAAAAGGGAAAACGACAACGTATGAATCTCTTACATTGATAAACATATGGCTCATAAGACAAAAGCAAACAAACAGCTACAATGTTACATCTAAAAGAAGGATTATCACCGCGCCATTCTGTTCCCAACAATATTTTTATGTAGAGACAGGAGGCCTAAAAAGAAAGGTGAAAAACTTTTCATACAAAGACCCAAGAGTGACCCTTCTATAAAGAAAGTAAAGCAACCGCTTTAGGCCCCATATTTGTGGAGGCCCCATTCTTTGTTACATCTAATAGACTATGTATACATTTTAAAAAAAAAGTTCTGTAAAGCGAAAAAGTTTGATTTCTTTCTTTAACAAATATAGAGGAGAAAGATTTGCAACTGCTATGATTTCTACCAAGGAAATTGCACTTGAAATGAATATCGAATCCGAATTTTATAAGAAACGTGTGATATATAGGAAGTAACAATTTGATGCGAATGTTAAAAATTAAATCTCAAAATCTTTCGAAGAGTCCTTTAGAGTTGGTTACTTTTATACATAATAGACAAGGTTATTTTTTCACTTCAAAATAGATTTGAACAATTCAAAGCATATGAAAATATTTTTGATTTTCTATTTAGCAGTAAAAACTAAGATCGCTAGATGTTGAAAATTTTAAAAAATATTGCCTTAATCTTGAATGTTCCTTAAAGCATAATAATCAATTCGATATTGATGGTTTAAATTTATTTTCTGAATTAAAAGTATTAACGAAAAGAGTACAATTAGAAGATAACAATTTAATGGATACATTTTGTAATGGATGGATCTCTATAGACTAAGTTTCATTAATTGTAGTTTGACCTTCCTTAGTTTTACTTTTACATCTTAGCCTTAGTTAATAACTTATTTTCATTATTACCCATGATAGACTTGATTTATATTCTTTAAGCAGAGAATTATTGAGACATGTTGAATGAAAAATCAGAATTTTTATCTTTTAATTTCTTTTCTCTTTTAAGTTTTCAATGGATAATCTACCGTAGGATTCACTACATATTTAATCAAATAAAAAGATTTAATTCTTTTTCAAATGTCTAAATTTCTTATGGAATAATGTTAATAACTCATGTTACCGTTGCTTCAGCGTAAAAAAGTTTTCAAAATTAAAATTAATAAAATCTTACCTAAGAACAACAATGTTACAAGAAAGATTAAATGGATTAGCTATATTGTTAGTTGAGAAATACTTATTAGGAGTTATTGATTATAAGAAAATCATTAATAACTTTGTATCTAAGAAAAAACTAAAAAAATAGACTTCAAATAAATAAATAAAAAAATTTAAAAAGTTAAGGTCACTCATAAAGTTTGGCTTTAGACCACAAAATTCGTCGGGCCGCCCCTGAAAGACCAAAGACAATACACATTTGCCTGCACTAACTTAGCCCCTAAAAAATAAAAGTTTTGTAAAGAATTAAACAATGATCATACAAAAGACTCAATGTCTACATTACCAATTTTACTACATCAAAAGAGTAAGAAAAAATATAAAATTAATTAGAAACACTTAGAAACACTTAGACAAGAGGGGTTGCTCTGATGGTAAGCAACCTCCACTTCCAACTAAGAGGTTGTGAGTTCGAGTCTCCCCAAGAGCAAGGTGGGAAGTTCTTGGAGGGAAGGATGCCGGGGGTCTATTTGGAAACAGTCTCTCTACCTCAGGGTAGGGATAAGGTCTGCGTACACACTACCCTCCCCAGACCCCACTAAGTGGGATTATACTGGGTTGTTGTTNAGTCCCCCCCCCCCCCCCCCGTCATTATTGAGTCCTTTTTTTCCCCTCTCTTTTGGTTAAAACTCTCTTCTTTGGATCTTTAATACAAAAGTTTTTAGGAAAATCCTTTTTTATCCCTCTCATTTCAGCATTTCCCCCATGTTTATGTTTTTTCGAATTTCTACCATCTTTGCCTTTTCTATATAGTAGACATTATTAATACTTAAAATTCAAAACACAAATTAAGAGCATACACAAATAACAGAAGAAAGAGGGTTAAGCCAAAGAACATTAGGAAGATAGTCTGACATAAATAATCTCTTTCAAATACAATAACCCATATATTTTAGCCATGAAATTTGGAAATGGTAGCAGGTTTGGGGGAAAAAATTAAGGGAAAGAAGTGGAAGAAAATCAGATCTAGAATTGGAACACTCATTGAACATGAAATCATTTTATATTTTTGAAAAGAACTGGAAGAAGATTAAAGAACTGACCTAAGGGTGAAGATGAATTAATCCTACGCAAGTCTTTCAAAATATACTGACTGGGAGTAAATATATTATATGTATAAAAGGAACTATTGGAGAGTTCTAGGATGTTGGGTTTGGTTGGAGAAAAAAAAGAGATGAAATTGGGGAGACTTCTAGAATATTGTAGTTTTGTAGAAAAACTTATTTTTTATTACTCCATTATTTCTACCAAAAAGCAAAGATGGTGGCAGGTATAATGACAAATCTGTCCCTGGTCGACCATCTTTGCCTTTTCTATATAGTAGACTAGTTAGAGTATTACATAGGTTCTACACTTTTTTATTTGAAAAAAAATTCCGCACCAACAAACATAAAATTGATTATAAAAAAATAATTAAAAAGTCAGTTGAAAAATAAGTCGTGATGTACTTTCTCATTATTTAAATTGAATAATATATAGTTGTACTCTTTTAGTATTATCAATTGCGTTAATATATTGCCTTTCTTTTTTATTAATCAAAATTTGAATAATAAAATATATTCATTTTATTTCCAAATAGATGATGCAAATGTTTTTTTGTTCTTTGAAATAATAATCATGATTTAGAATTATTGAAAAAATAATAATAAGTAAATGTGTATTTTATTCTAGTTTAAAGACATATTTAGATAATTTATTTAAAATAAATAAATTTTCTATCACAGATTTTTTCTAGTTTCATTTGATATGATTGAGCATTTTCTAAAAATAGTTAATTTTATATTTATGTATTTTGATATTTATATAATGTTGAATTCTTTATTAAAAAAAGAGGAAGTACCCAACTAACTTTGATCATAGAGGGATAAGTATAATCATACATAATGATATTTCTCATGCTGCCTAATATATAATAAAGAAAAAAATTCCCCAAATTAATTGTCTGAATTTTTTGTTTAGATTATTATCGAATCATGTTTTATGAAGGGAATTATTTTATATACTTTTTGAACAAATTTCAATATCCTTTAATAAAAAAGGTACTTGAAACTATATTTTTTCTTAAATATATTTTTTTTCTTGATTTATAAAGTGTTCCAATTAAAATTGCAATTTAATGAGCATTTGTATAAAATGATATCAATTGATATTAATATAAGAATATTTTAATAAAAATCATATATTGCCACTTTTTTTTTTTGATATTCTTTACCAAAAACATTCAATAAGTAAAACAAATGAAATAATTTTTCATTAAGGAGATAATAGAATTATTATATATAAATGTATGTTACCATGGAATGTTTTTTAATTAAATGAACGTTTAAATTATAAAATTACCTAATAGATAATTTTTCTAGTTAAAAATACTTAATGAAAAAAAATATTTTTTAAACAGTGAAAGTGAGTACAGAGAAGTAATCTACTTCAAAGTTCAAACAAACCAAAAAGTAATAGTAGTCAAGTAGTGCATTTAAAGAAGCAATTAAGGATGAATGGGAACTGGGGTCCACCTAAAGAATTCAATAGCTTAGGGCCACGTTGCTTTTGTTTTTTTCAGTCATTAGGAACCCAGAGGCTACAACCAAGCTTTTAAGCCTACTGTGCAAGCATACAATGCA